CTTCCTTCCTTCCTTCCTTCCTTCCTTCCTTCCTTCCTTCCTTCCTATCTCCATCCATCCATAGTGTGCAGTGGTTAGAATATGCAGCATTGCAGGCTAACTCTGTCGACTGTCAGCAGTTCAATCCTGACTGGCTCAGCTTTCCATCTTTCCGAGGCCTCAGATTGTTGGGGGCAACAGGCTGACTCTGTGAACCACTTAAAGAGGGCTGTAAATATCTAAGGGCTATTGCTAGTGTTATTTCCTTCCTTCCTTCCTTCCTTCCTCCCTCCCTCCCTCCCTCCCTTCCTTCCTTCCTTCCTTCCTTCCTTCCTTCCTTCCTTCCTTCCTTCCTTCCTTCGCACAATGATTAGGATGCAGTATTGCAGGCTAACTCTGCCAACTGCCAACAGTTCGATTCTGAGTGGCTCAAGGTTGACTCAGCCTTGCATCCTTCCAAGGTGGGTAAAATGAGGACCCAGATTTTGGGGGGCAAGAAGCTGACTCTGTAAACCGCTTAGAGCACTAAGAAGCAGTATATAAGTCTAAATGCTACTGCTATTCCTCGTTCCTTCCTTCCTCTCTCCTTCCCTCCCTCCTTCCCTCCCATCCAACCATCCATGCTTGTGCACTGGTTACAATGAAGCATTGCAGGCTAACTCTGCCCACTGTTGTCAGTTCGACCCTGACCCAGATTGTTGGGGGCAAGAGGCTGGCCCTGTAAACTGCTTAGAGAGGCCTGCAAAGCACTGTGAAGCATCATATAAGTCTTAAGTACTGTTGCTATTTGATAATCTTTGCATTTCTGATCCTTTCCCCCCCCCACTTTTAGGACTTCCGGATCTGAGAAAAGTCGTTGTCATCCCCTATGTATCTTCAAGAGAGTCCATAGATATTTCCAGAATCCCAAACAGGTACTAAGTTTTGAAGGGTATTGTGATGACCCAGGGTGGGATGCAAAATAAACACAGTCACAAAAACAAGTGAAGCCCCTTTTATTCCTTCACTTTGCTTCAAAGCTCCAAATATCCTTGACTGGAGACAAAAAAAACTCCCCCCACAAGCAGTTACGGAAAGGAGGAAATGCCGTTTAAAGTAAAAACGCCTATAAATTATAAAGAGCAAAAACAAGACAAACCACACTGAAGCAATTAAGGGAACCAGGCAAGATAAGGGCTTGAAGAGATCCACAGATATTCCCACACTGGGAAGGAGGCCAAACTCAGAGAGGAACAACAAACTAGAGATATTTCTACGCTTTGTTTCTAGCACTGGCCGATACGCATGTCCGTCCTTTTAACCAGTTCTCACAGCTGCAGCCCATGAAGGGTATCAAGGCCCTTTCCTCCCCCATAGACCACACCATTCACGTCTCTCCCTTATCCTCTCCTCCTTGCATGCCCTAGGATGGAGAGGGGATGGGCCTGGGTCTTCCTCTGACTGCCCAGCCTCCTCCACAACCTCCAGAGCCACATTTCCACTCCTTGTCGGCTGTTCCTCCTCTCCCTCGGAGTCAGACTCCGACGGGCATGACAGGTATGGAGATCACGTGACTCTGGGGATGCTGCAAAACACACTGGTTGCCAAAATACCCAGGAGATGCTGTGACGGTCGTAAGTGCGAGGACCGGTCTCAAGTCACCTTTTTCAGTGCCGTCATAAGTTTGAGCGGTCACTAAAAACATGGTTGCAAGTGGAGGACTATCTGTACAGTTTGTTTATGGCCATTTGAATTTACAACAGCGGTGGAAAAAAAAATGACATATGACCGTTTCTCACACTTAACGACCATTGGAGCATTCTCACCGTTTCTCACACTTACAACATGATCAAAACGCTTGGCAAATGACTTGTATTTATGGCCGCGGCTGTGTCCCAAGGTCATGTGATCCAACTTTTGTGACCTTCCGATGAGCAAAGTACATCGGGAAGCCAGATTCACTTAACAACTATGTGAGTAAATTAACAACTGCAGAGATTCTACTTAAACAACAGTGGCCAGGAAGGTTGTAAAATGGGGCAAAACTGACTTTTAACAAATGTCTCACATGGCATCAATTTGGGGCTCCATTGTGGTCGTAAGTGGAGGACTTCCTGTGTTAGCTTGGGAGTCTCTTAGTTCCCTAGGTTGACCCTGGTTTGGCGTGCCGACGGTTGCATAGAAACATCTTAATATAATATAATTTTATCATATTTTATCTAAATCTTGGACTTCCGGTTTGTTCCTTGCCGGAGTCGGTGCGAATCAGAGATCGAGTGTGGTTTCGCCCGAGCTCACTTGCTGGAGGGTCCCGATCGGGACCGGAGCCACACTGGTGGGGTGGTGAAGAAGGGGGAAATCGCCTGGAGGTTGAGGGGAGCCTCAACCTTCCTCCCTAACAGGAAAATCCCTCCCAAAGGCAAGTTGCAGCGGTGGTCTTAAAATGGCCACCACGAAGACAAAGAACACTCCGGGAAACTAAGTTTTGTGCTGGAGAGAGAAGTAGCGAGCAGAGTGTGACCCAGGCAAAGGACATCGCTTTTGAGGTACCCCGGTATCAAATTAAAGGGCTATTTTGGAGGAAAGCATGTGGAAGTGGTGACCAGAGAAAGTGAGAAAGAAATTGGTGTTTAAATTTGGATGTGATTATTCTATTGGACTGATTTGGAGGAGAAATTTAAAGGAAAATACATTAACACAACAAAGGATTAAAAATTAAACTGGACAGATATTGAACTGTGGGCACTTAAAGGGCATAACTAAATGCTGGAATTGAGTGTGTTGAAAAGAATAGCTAATGACTGAAATTAGCGAACTTAATAAAAATATTATATTCAATAAAGAAAGTTAAAAAGAAAAAGAGTCAAGAGCGCCACCTGATGGCACAGGAAAACTTTAATCCATTTTAAAACGAGCGTCTGGTCTTTTTGAGAGTTTGGATCTTGGAACTTGAAAGAAAATAAAAGGAACTTTATTATTGTCATAGAACCACCCGGTAATTTGGGAAACAGTTGGGAGGCCAATTAGAAGATTTGGAATAAAGACTCAAGAGTATGAATTGTTGAAAATAAACTCAAAAGATATTGGCTGAAATAAGATACTACTGGACTCTGGGATTGAATATATCTATCAAAGAAGAAAATTTCAACTATTAAGGAAGAGGAAAGAAAAAGAAAAAAGGAGAAGATATAATGGAGGAGCTACTTGTTGATATAAGACTGGACTTACGACATAAGATTGAATATGCAAGATACAAGGGACATGATAAAAATCAAACTTGAAATGTGTAATTATGTATTACAGAAATTAGAAATGGTGACTCATCATACACAAGAACACAATAAACCAGATGGGGAGGAGTTCTATAAAGAAGAAGCCAACTTAGAAGAACAAAACGAACAACAATTATTCAAGCAGGGGGGGAAAGAATTAGAATTAAAAATTTGTGGTCTGATGGGATGATAAAAGGGAGAATGGTTCAGAAAATGGTTAAAGAGAGAAGGGAAAAGAAGGAAAAGGAAGTGCAAAGGAAAAATCAAAAGAGAGAGACAGAAAAGTTTAATAACTGGAATGAGAAAAGGAGGGGAATAAGAATGGGGAGGAAAGGAATTAAGAGAAAGGACCAGAAAATAAAGATGAACAGGAAACAAACAAGGATGAAAAGAAGGTACGTTGTTCAAAGAGTGAGAGATAATGGGTGAAAAAAAAGGGATAAGGAAGGGGATTCCGCAAGGTAATATGTTGGGATGTATAAGAATATATTGAAAATCGTATTTTGTAATGGATAGATGATTCATAAAGAAAATATAATGCGGAATCTGAGAAAAATCTGTTTTATACAAATAGGGAGATTGATATTAAGGAAGAATGAAGGTGGTTAGCTTGAATTATTAACTAGAGGGAACAACTATATTTACAGATAAGGATTGATACAATGACAAATGTGACAGGAAAAAAATAATAATATGAGAAATGATAATAGAAAGGAGATGAGAATTTTAGATAACATTGTAAAATAAGATATGAGAATATACTAAGAAAAATGGAAGGAGATATATCAGGATTTGGAATTGAATAAATGAACATAGTATTGTGATGAGAATTTTAGATAATATAAAATAAGATATGAGAACATGAATTGGGATTGGATAAGATAAGCTTAATATTTAATAATGACAAGGATGATGCAATATGAAATTAAGCAAATAAAATGAATAGGTGACTATGGCCATGTTTGTATTGAGATGTGAAACCTGGAACCACACTGCTTGCCAAATGAGAATTTTTTATTTAAAAAAATAAAATGAAAACGGGGAGAAAATTGAATAATGGAATTATTAGGTATGTTTAATTGATATGGTGATAGGCATTTGGAGAGAGTAAGGTTGAAAATAAATATTGAAGAAGTATGAATTAATATGAATATAATGCAATGAGAGATGTATGATATATCTATGCCACACTGTTAATGTATTGTTATATGTAGATTGAAATAAAAAAATGTTGGGAAAAAATATTTTATCTAAATCTTAAGTTCTTGTATTTTATTCCAATTTCATTTTAGACTGTGTGTTATTCCAATTTCATTTTAAATTGTATTTTATGCAATTCCGTGTTAAATTTGCTTTTTATCAGATTTTATTAATAATTTGTATTTCTGGAACTCTGCCCTTTGATATGGACCGAGGGCTAATCGATACCATTAATGGATTATAGAAAAATCTTAGTCGTATGGAATTCGGATTTTCACCCCCTTTCCTTCCTTTTTCCGCTCAGCGTGTTTTTAGAAGATTTTCTTGGAACAGGCAAGGGAGACCACGTGCCTCAGCTGGAGTTCGAGCAGCTGCCCTTCAGCCACCCACTTTTCATCATGTACTCTTCAGGCACGACGGGTGCCCCGAAATGCATGGTGCATTCTGCAGGGGTGAGTGTCCCTTGTTTATTTATAATTTCATGTACGGCATGGAACGCAGGGCTATTAGGAGTGCCACGGTGGCCTAGAGGTAGAGCTCTCGACTCACAATCAGGAGGCTGTGGGTTCAATCCTAGGTAGAGGCAGATGTTTCTCTCTCTGGGCACGATGCTCTGCCAAACAAAACTCCGCATTGGCAACAGGAAAGTCATCCGGCCATTCAAATACTCTGCTAGCTCCGTTGAGTTGCCCTGACTCCATCCTGCAAAGGATTATGGGGTCGTTAAATGAGGAAGGAGGAAGATGGAATGTATGGATATTTGGAGTACGGGAGAAACGCATGGTGATATAATTTAACACACGTGATAGAGAGGTGTGGTCACTTTTGTAAGATTTAAGAACATTGAAAGAATTGCATGTCAAGTTGCAAATTATATTTTGAAATACGTTAGTTGGGGAAATGGTGAGTTCTAATCCTGCTTTAGGAAGGGAAACCAACTGGGTGACTCGGAAGAGGGTGAGTTCTAGCGCCACCTTAGGCATGTAATAAAGCCAGCTGGGTGACTTTGGGCCAATCACCAGGAGACAGAGAATTCTAGTTCCACCTTAGCAACGAAAGCCAGCTGGGTGGCTGGCCAGTGGGATCGTTGCTGTGTGGAAAATAGGAGGAGGAAGTTAGGATATGGGATATATCCGCTGCCTCGAGTTCTTTCTAGAAACAAAGAAGATGGGATGAAAATGAATAAAATAAGCGGTTTTGCCCTGGATTGAAACCTCAAATGGATCCATTTGATTTCTCTATCCACATTCGTACCATTTTGGGGCCATTTCAGAATTTGGCCCCGTGCACCTAGGCTAAGACTGTGAGAAAGCTTAATGCTCTGAAATCATTGTGAAATATTCAGTGTGCAAAATAGTTATTTGAGTGCTTGGCTCCGTTTTGCTAATTCAAATGTAAATTAAACTAAATTTTCATTTTAGTTTTCTAATGCAATTTAAGCTCTTTCCATCATCATCATCATCATCATCATTATTATTATTATTATTATTATTATTATTATTATTATTATTATTATTATTATTATATGTCCCTGCAGGGGACTTTGATTCAGCACCTGAAAGAACATATCCTTCACGGGAACATGAGCAGTAATGACGTCATCATATACTATACCACGGCAAGTGATTTTTTTTTTCTTTAATAAAGGAGAATATTCATAGCTTGGGGGCTGACATGAGGAGGTCAGCCTTGGTGCTCTCTGAGCTTGCTTGTTGTCTTGCAGACATTTCATGACCCTACTAGGTAACATCATCAGTGCTAGAAGGGAATGGGTTTTGTTGAGAGGAAGAGGACGTGGTGATTTTCTTGCAGACATTTCATTACTCTACTAGGTAACATCATCAGTGCTAGGAGGGAATGGGGTTTGTGGAGTGGCGGAGAAGGAAAAGAAGAGAAGATAAGGAGGACTATAAGATTCGCGGTACTCTCAGCTTGCTTGTTTTCTTGCAGATGTTTCATTACCCAACTAGGTAACATCATCAGTGTTAGTAAGGAGTGCTGTTTGCTGTCAGTTTATATTCTAGTGCAGAGGCCTCCAAACTTGACAACTTTAAGAATTCTGGGAGTTGAAGTCCACAAGTCTTAAAGTTGCCAAGTTTGGGGACCCCTGTTCTAGTGGCTTGCCCCATGAAGGTGGGTGATCTTAAAGATTCTTTGGTTGGGCTGTTTGCTGTTGTCTATTTTGAGAGGAGGATTGTTTCCTTGATTGATGGTCTGAAGTTAACCTTGGAGTTAATCTATGCTTGATCTGGGATACTGATTGCTGGCGGAGAAGCGCTGGAGTCTTTTTATTCTCTTTTTGGGCTGGTTGATTGTCTCTTTTGCCTCATCTGCAGATGGTTGTTTATGTTGCCTTTTTTCTTTCCATAAAAACAAATATTAAATTGATGAAAGTCTTCAAACAGGGCATCCTTTTGAGGTGCACTGTCTGTGCAACGTTCCCATCTTCAAGGTAATCCTCCCTCGTCCGCCAAGGAGACCAGACTGGATTAGCCCAAGATTAAATGCAGATTAAAATCAATTTACTGCATATACTTGCGGATAAGCCCCTCTGGGGATAAATAAGCCCAATCTTGGAAATGTTTGCGCGTTGTTGTTGTTTTATTTTCCCAATTGGCTTACCTGCAGGTGGCAGAAGCTTCACAGTTTTTTGGTTTAAAATGGCAGCGTTTGTTTATCCGTGGACGGTCTTAAAAGTGAGTATTCTATGAGTGAATATACAATGCAATAGAATAGAGCTGGAAGGGGCCTTGGAGGTCTTCTAGTCCAGCTCCCTGCTCAAGCAGAAGAGCCTATACAATCTCAGACAAGTGACTGTCCAGTAGTCGGTCAGTCAGTCTGTCTGTCTGTCTGTCTGTCTGTCCGTCTGTCTGTCTGTCTATGTCTGTCTGTCTATCTATCTATCTATCTATCTATCTATCTATCTATCTATCTATCT